GGCGGCCTCTCGGGTACGGCCCGGCCCGCCGGGAAAAGACGCCAGGCCGTCCTCGTTAGTATAGTGGTGAGTATCCCCGCCTGTCACGCGGGAGACCGGGGTTCGATTCCCCGACGGGGAGGTTGCATAATGTTTTCTTATTTTGAGTTATTTTTTCTTCCGGAACGGATTTTTCTAATTTCCGAAGAAAAAAAAAAAAAAAAGTAGTACAGTTTTGCGTGTGCGGACCCAGAGCGTTCCCGTACTTCTAAGAGCTGTCTGAAGTTCACACCGAGCTTTGTACACTGCCGTACACCGCTCACAGCCCGATCCCGGGCCTGGGAGGCCCATGGCTGGCCGTGTCCCCTCACGGCGCGGGGTGCCGTCCGCGCCCAGCACCTCTCTGCCCTCCCTTCCCCGCAGACACCCGCATCGCTGCTCCCCCCCATCCCATCAGGGAAGAAAAGCGCGGCTCCCGGACCTGGCCGCCGGGCACAGCAAGGAGCGTGGGGCAGGGGGATGTAGCTCAGCGGTAGAGCGCATGCTTTGCATGTATGAGGTCCCGGGTTCAATCCCCGGCATCTCCAGAAGAGGCCCTCGTCCTCTTTTCCCCCCCCGTGGTTTATTTTATCGAGGGTTAAAGTTGCCACGTCACATTAAACAACAGAAAACTGCACCGTGAACGTGCTGCCCAAAAAGGCTCTACGGTGGGCAGCTTCCCAGTGGCATAAAATTGTTTTGGTTTTTTTGTCAGTCGGTTCTCCTCGGGACTATGCAAACACACAGGATTCTCATGTCTCTCTGGGTATTTCATTGCCACACTAAGGCCCTGCAGACACAGAGCAGCCCGAAAGGAGGAAGGAAGCACTAAACCCTGAAATGCAGGGGGATGCTGGCCTGTCAGCCGTGCCTGACACCTCTCCACCCCAGAACCTAGCAGAGCTGGCTACGTGCAAACCTGCAGTCAGCACAGAGGATGCTCACGGTGTCTGCACTGTAGAGCCAGAGACAAAGGGGAAGGCACAAATGCCAGGACACCACAGGTGACTGGACTCACTGGCTGTGATGGTGCAGGAGCTTTTCCCTGGCTCTGAGCTGGCTCTGCGGTGTCCGCTCTCGTCTGCTGTCCTGCTCCAGCTGGAGGGTCAGTGGCAGCCCCTTGGCAGCATGACCAGGCTTCACTGGGAACACGGTTGGAAGGAGCTCTCGGGAAAGCTCTTGCTTTGATCTCCTCGTGTTGGCCGGGCTCACATTGTTCTCTCTCACCCAGGAAACTCTTCAGAGCCACAAGAGCTGAAACGTATGGCACAGAGAGACCAAAGCACACACAGAGCTTGAAACACCTTTTATCTACTCAGTTCAGTTACCAGCTGTTTTATCTGCACTGTTCAGTTATCAACAGCATATCCAGCTCTCTCTGGTAGGGAGAGCTGACTACTGACAGATGTAAAATGACATTTCCTGCCAGAGTGGTTAAAATGCTCCTTGTGCTATTTATTTACTCGTGTTGCTTCTAGTTGTTATTTTGAGCCAAATGCTTGGCTACAGCACTAGTAAGTGTGAAGATCCCTGTTGTAAATAACTCCCTGGACAGGATCTCTCTGGGCAGCTGTACTTCTGGAATACAAGAAAGAGATGGTTCCTGCCCCAGAGAGTTTATAGTAACAGGGACAAAGTAACAAGACTTTTTGGCACAGGAAATCAGTATCTGTCAGTATAATAGGTCATGGTCTGTTAGGACCAACATCCTACTGTTCACCAAGCTTGTCTTGAAATCGTAGCAAGGGGTACTTGTACAGACAGTGTAGGAGAAACACCGAGTGGCTTTGTTCACAGAAAGCCCCTCCCAGCTCAGGAAAGCACTGTTCCTTCTGCAAACCAGCCAGCCGTATTTAAGGACTCTGTTGCATTCGGGCCTAACATCTGCCTTGCAACCTGAATATAACGCAAATCTGAACTTTTAGGGGTGTGCTGCTCCACCATTTGTTTCAGACACCAGGTACAAACTCACTCAGGATGCTCAGTGGTTGGCTGTCTACCCTAATTAGATGAAGAATAGCACTGTATCATTTTAATTTCTTCCCATTACAAAACTCTTATCATGTCTGTTACAAAATACATTGCCATGTGCCTTTCTGACTATTTTCAGACCAGTTCTATGTGCTCATTCTGTAACTAGAATAAGCTTAGCATTATTATTCACTTTCAGATGAGGCAGACCTAAATCTGAAAGGCTATTCCAGTCTTTTATGTTTATACAACTCCAAACGCACACAATATAAGCCACTGAACATGATTCTAACCTGAGAAGAAACCAAAAGACTTCTGTGGGGTTTTTTTGTTTTTTTCCCAGTTAAACAACCCGGGTGTTTGAGATTATTATTACTAGTGCAATGCTGAGTTTTAATACAAACCCAGCCCACCAGCAGCTGAGAAGCTCCCCAGAGCATTCCCCTCCTCTAAAAGCTCCATATGTCAGGGAAATGCAGGCTGGTTTCCCTCAAACCAATCACAAAGCTGTTGCTGGGCCTCTGCTCCTTTCCTACTGGTGTGCAGCCCTGGGTGTTATCTGTGTCTGGTAGGCAGCAGTTTTCTTTGGGTGCCAGCAAACGAAGGATTTTGTAGGCGGATTGAACCGAATGGCATCTCATGAATCTTGCAAACAAAGCCCCATTTTGTTCTTAGCGATGCCCTTGAACTGCTGTATAGTTTGACAAGGATGGCACAGGAGCCAACTGAGTGCAACAGAAATCTACCGAAGGTGCTCTGTAAGTGAGAACAGAATAAGAAATAGGCATTATTATTTCTATTTATGATTGATTTTGCCCCAGTGGCAAGGCCTTAGTCCTGCATTATAAACTCCACTGTATCTCAGATGCATAGTCCACTTTACGTGTGCATATATATATACTGATTATATCTCAGGCAGACTGCAGGACTCTGATCTTATCTATGAGGCCTTCTTTGTCCCTCACTTCAGCTCTCCCCTCTCCGGGCTGCCTGATCTCCATCCCCTGGCAGGAGTCTCCTGCAGCCTCCCTGCCCTTCAGGCTGCCCTGGCCTCGGGCCCCGGCAGATGTCCTGGCATCATTAAGGCGGCTGGACAGCGACTTGTCTTCCCTGTCCCTTTCTCCACAGGCCATGGTGGCACAGAGGGCCTGGCACAAACCTGCTCGCAGGCTTCGCCCGTGCCAGTCCCAGCAGGTTTGTGCCTGCTTACACCGGTCCCGGGGGGGGACACCATGCTCCCCTGCCACTTCTCTCCCTCTGTCACGCTAAAACGCATCGGAGCTTCTTCAATAGAACTACACGGCTTCCTTCTGACTGAAACAACAGTCCCTCTTCCTACAGGCGCCTCACAAACTGCCTCCCCACAAGGCCTGTGGGCAGAGCTGCCCCTCACCCTGCCCGAGGGAAGAAAATCAAGGAGGCGCTTTTGAAGCAGGGAGACAACTGTAGGGGTTTAAATCCCTCAATAAAATGTATGGCTCTGACAAGAAGCTTTAGGCACAGGGGCGTCTCTGAAGCAGAGAGGACTCGGCTCGCCGAGGCACCATAGCCCCCGGCCCCGCTCCGAGGGTTCCACGCCAGGTTTTTCTCCACGCCCCTTTGCGCACTCACTACCGCCGCCCCCCGCCCGCCAGACCGGGCCGCCTCACCGCGCGAGGCGCTGAGTCGTCCGCGCTGCCGGGCCTCGCTTCCTTCCACTCGTACGGTAGAGCTACGGCACGCACCACAGGGGAAATAGTGCTTGGCGGAGTGATCTGATCCGCGGAGGCGGGGCGCGAGAGGCTATATAAGGGGCGGGAGGGGAATGTGTGGCGCAGTTGCAGCTGCGTGAGTGTGGGAGAGCGTCGTTCCGTCGGCTTGGCCTGCGAGCCCCGCGGTGAGTGCTGCGCGGCTTGGCTTCGCCGTGCCTCCGTGGGGAAAGCGCAGGGTAGAGCCGCTTGTCGTGGCGCCGGCAGGGCTTAGATGCGCGCTGGGTGGCCGGGCGGGGGACGCGTATGTGCTGAGGGGGAAGGGGATGCGGCTGGAGGAGATGGCGGGCTGCGGGCGGGGCGTGGGCCGGGACGCTCCCCTCCCCCGTGGCGGCAGCACCGCGAGCCGGCGGCGGACATGGGCGGGAGAAGGGAGTATGAGCAGCCAGCGGCAAAATGGCGGCCGCGCAGGCGCAGCGGTCCCTCAAGATGGTGGTGGGCGCGAGCGCCTTGGGCGGGAAGGGGAACGGGCCGGGTGGCCCCGCCTACCTTGGGGGTGTGGGCGGATCCTTTACTCTGACGTCACAGGGCGTGGAGCGGGGACAGGCCGCTCGCAGGGAGCGGCACCCGCCGGTGGGCTGCCTCGGGGGAGCTGGGCTCCCGCGGCTTGGCCTCGCTGCGGCCTCCCGTGGGAAGGAACGGGAAAAGTGACGAAGCTAAGTGGTTTCTCTTCTTCCAGAGAAAAATGCAGATCTTTGTGAAGACCCTGACCGGCAAGACCATCACTCTTGAGGTTGAGCCCAGTGACACCATCGAGAATGTAAAGGCCAAGATCCAGGACAAGGAAGGCATTCCCCCCGATCAGCAGAGGCTGATCTTCGCTGGCAAGCAGCTGGAAGATGGGCGCACCCTGTCTGACTACAACATCCAGAAGGAATCCACCCTGCATCTTGTGCTGCGCTTGAGGGGTGGTAACTGAACTGGCTGGTTGTTGCTTGCTTCCTTCCAAGTAAAAATTTCTCTGCACTTGTTCATTCCAATAAAGTTGTTGCATCCACAAAAATTCATGTCTTGAGTTATGTGAACAACTATTCATGCTGTTAGCCAAATCTAGCTGTCTCATAAACTGCAGTTACATAGCTTCCACTGACAAAGGTATTGCAAAACTGCTTTATGTATGTCGTGGTTTAACCCCAGCCAGCAACTAAGCACCACGCAGCTGCTCACTCACTCCCCCCCCATCCAGTGGGATGGGGGAGAAAATCAGGAAAAGAAGTAAAACTCCTGGGTTGAGATAAGAACGATTTAATAGAACAGAAAAAAAGAAACTAATAATGATAATGATAACACTAATAAAATGACAACAGTAGTAATAAAAGGATTGGAATGTACAAATGATGC